GCGGAAAATGGGGAAGATCCGGTTTTTTCGGAATCTTCAAAAATAAACGTCGGATATTCCCGTGAGACGATTTTTCCCCGGCGAAAGCGTCGTCGATATCGCGATGCGTTGGTCAAATAAAATCTTTAATTCGGTCGAATCGACGAGTGCGGCTCGTCACGTCACATTCGGCGTGTCCGACGGGAGGCAAACAGGAAGGGACATTTCGTATATGTGTCACGTGGCCGATCAATTTTGACAACCCGCGTCCGGCGAGTCGGAATTTCTCAGGATCGATAATGCGATCGAGGTACGCGCGATAAGGGCTGATAATCGCGATACCGCCGCTTCTCGATTCTGTGCGACTCGCGACTGTGCATCATCGTCGCTTCCTTAAACCTTCACGATAAAACCCACCATCCGTAATTCCGTCCATCGGCACGATCCAGCGCAGCTGGAGAGCCGAGAATCGACGCAACGTCATGCCAAGCCTGCGGTAAGCGAGACGCTTTCGATGAACGAGCTTGGATGCTGGTGCTTCTCTTATCTAATCGCGCGCGAGCGCGCGCGATGTCGCTCGACTTGCGGACCGGCCAGTCCGAGATTAACGCGTTGCGCGACGCACAATGCATCTCATGGTCATTCTTCCTTTTATCCTGGAGAGAACGCTCGCGAAGTAAGACGGACGGATATATACGTGCCTTCAAAGCCACCCAGCGGGACGTGAGGATTTTCTTAACGGATTTAACGCACTGCCAATTGATCGTGTAGATTCACCTTCTCCGCCGATGATCGACTGATCAATCTAAACTCTCGATTATAGAAGGAAATTATTGTTTACTTGTAGGTCTTACTATATCGACTCTCTTATGTTGCGAGGATTATAAACATTCCGGTAAAGATACGTTACTGCTTACTGTTGAGGAAATGATGTTCAGATCTGGAAAAATGCAACTCGCCGGTCGGCTGTGGGTTAATCCTAAATTACTAAATTATCTTGTGATTCACATTATTATTGATCACTCGTAAAAATTACGACTGAAAGAAAACGGGTAATATTTTGGGAAAATATTTTTATTGAGAGGTAGAAACTTGTTTTACAAATGTTTACGATAACTCGACTGAAAAACAATGAAAAATTAAGATAATAATTATTCAATAATTATACAACCTGAACACATGTTGACATTATAGGCATGATGTGTTACTGTTTTAGGCTGGTGTATTCATGGTCAGATCGTATATTTAAGATTTTTAAATTCATCTTCATATACTTTGCAGCCGATGAAATGAACCGTACGGCATTTGAAGATGAACTTAAGACGATTTTAAATATAAAGTTTGATTATGAATACCGGCCTTGTACAGCCAGTGCAAAAGTTAGCTGTAATCTCCCTGGATTTGGACACAGAGCGCAAACTGTTCGGTGTGATAGGAGCTCGATGAGGCATCGTAATTTTTACGATGATTTCTATCTAATTTTTGCGATGGTGATCCAGGTTAAAACGAGAAAAATTTCGCGTCTGTAGAAACCTTGAAAAATTCCCTCCCTCGCGCATCCTCGCTCTTCGTTCTCTGATCGATTTCTATTTTTCGGCCCGAATCTCGCGCAACGCCATCGAGTTTATCCAGCGAAGGTCAGGTCTGAAGTGCGTGCAATCGACGGTCGAGGACTCGTTCCCGATTCTCATCGCTATCAGATGCAACAAATTGCGTATCATATCGGGACGACGCGATTTGTCCGTTTGCACACGGGGGTAATCGCGTATAAAAATTGTTTGCAACTCGAGCCGGCGATAAGCGGCAGCGGTTCAGCACGATGTCCGACTAATGAAATGTATGGCGCCAATGATATTATCAATCGTGATGATATAATAGTTCACGATAGTTCGCTCCAGCCGGGGGGCATCTCTTTTTGTAATTCGAACACAACGTCAATCGGCCGCCGCCATTATTTGTGTATCGTCGACCGCTTGCAATGTTTATTTACGAAATTACGTGCAGAAAAGTACATTCGGGTTAAATCTTCTCTGCCGTCTTGCCATGTGCGTGCATTATATAAGGTGTCCCTAAATATATATATATATATACCCTTAACACGACAGATTCTTTGGGACATTCCGAGACGAAGATTCAAGTGTGAAAATATCAAAACATCAATTGTTTTTAAGATACAACTGATCGGGAAATCGAGGCTTTTCGCAAACGGAACTTCGAATGACCGAATAACAAAATAACAGAATTATTCCTTTCGATCAATTTCAAATGGACTTTACTGTCTAAAGTACAATTAGTATATTATCGCTGAGAACAGTCAATAGTCACTAATGATCATAGTTATAAATATACCATGATTTTTATCCACTTTTAGAATTTCCCGGCCAACCCTGCTTAGAATGTCCCAAACGATCTGTTAAGGACACACGTTCGTTCCGGGACACTTTGTGTATATATATATATATGTTTATTTGTGTGCACGCACGTACGTTTTATAAAACGCCCGCCGTTTGTTTCAGAAGACGTGGGCTACAGAAGTGTCGAGATCACGTCCGCTTTCACGCACCTGCCTCAGAAGGGTGAGTAAGCGTTTTTCCTCCGCTTACATTCGCGCGATTTCCTCGCGTTTCTCTCATTTTTCCGACGGGACGATTTTCGTTCTCGCCGCGTCGGCGATCTATGCGGCGAACGCGATCGGCGTCTCGATCGCGACGCGGCCGTCAATCGCTCCAACTGTCACACCCGCTAACTCGAGAACTGAATCGTTGGATCCGCAGCCTCGGTTTCTATCTCTGAACCGGGGAGATTTTCACGGTCGTGTTTTCCGAGCGAGCGAGCGGGCGAGGCGCTTCTCTCGGCGCTTCTCTTGGCGCCCGGGAGACGCGAAAAAATCCGAGTCGAGAGCGCATTTCGGGAACACAACAAATGTTATTTCCGAGCCGTAACAACTGGTATAACTGGTATAACCGGTATAACCATAATCGACACACACGGGGGGAGGGGGATGAGGGAGGGGCGGGAGATTATTGCCGAACTGTTTGCGCGTCTATAAATTTCGAGTTCCTCACCGCCGGCCACGCGCGGGCCTCCTTCTTGCGCGTGTTCTTCGCGGTTATCGCCGCTCGCTATTTTTCGCGCGAACGCGATGACCGCGTATCTTTTTGCGTGCTGCCCCCCCTCAACTTGTGAATTATAAGACTCCCATCCTCCCTCCGATAAAAATAAACCGCGTCTCCGTGTACATCGATTCGCGGCCGTTCCGCCGTATATCTCGAAATTCGCTAAATGCTATCAAGACGTCACACGGCAGCGTCGCGCGCGTCATACATCGACGCAACGCGATTGCTTGTCTCTCGGTGTATTCCCGGCGATGAATTTTTCCAAATACCCGTCACTCGCGATGTTCTCGTTCATAGGCGGCGGATAGATCTGATAACTGAAACGCTATAAATAGATCTGCCTCCCTCGTCGTCCTCTCTCTCTCTCTCTCTCTCTCTCTTTCTCTCCGTCTCTCGCAGCTCTGCTAAGCGAACGAACGGACGAAACGCAGCTATGAATCGACGTTTCTCGCTGTCTCCGTGCGCTAATTCGCTCCTCGACGTCCAAAATTGGAAACGCGTACACAGACACACACACAGACACACACATCGCGATGTTAACGCGGAACGGCCATCGACAGTCCCTCTCGCCGATTTTGACGAACTCCGAACGACGTTACGAAATTTTTCATCCATTCCGCCGGCGCAAGCGGGGCAGCTTTTCGCGAATTTAAATCTATACATTTGATTTTGACTGACATCCGGACAAAATCGAAAGATACACGGCGAAGAGGAAGAGGAGCTTCGCCGTGCCGAAGCGTCGTCGCCGCAAAGAATCGCGACAAATAGCGACGCGTGGAAAAGAGCAAGCCGTTCCTTTTCGACTGGCGCATTATTCGACGGAGATGTCACTCTGCCGTGACACTTCCGATATTAAGTTATCACGGTGTCTTAACGGTGTTTTTCTTTTTACTTTTCGCGACATCAAATTCTCCCTCGGGATTGTAATCGTGTTATGATTATGTACCGGACAATTCGATTTTTCGACGGGGAGTTAAAAAAATCGAATCCCGAGAACGCGAAAATCGTATTCAACTCAACATCTCGTCAAAATTGCAAGGATCCCTTCGAGATCGTCCTCCCGAGAAAACTAACTTAGCGTTCGTCGCAGGTCCGCGAAAATAGCGCCGCGAAGGGTGAATTTTTATGAAATCCCCGCGAAGTTCGTTCGTCCGTAAAAAGTTTTCTTACCTCGCAAAAAAAAAAAATTATAAAAAAGGAAATTTGGCAAATTTCGACATCAGCATCCCCGTGAGTGTTTCCCTTTAACTTCTAGGCAGGACACGATTGTCTATTGAAGACTCTTGTTTGCTCGCCCTGCGAACAAAATTACAAACAAACAAGGCAAACAGGCAGTTGCCATTTTTAACGTTCCCGAGTGTGTTTTCGCTTAATTCGATCATTCTCTAACTCGATTTGGCTTGCTGGAGTAACGAAGAATCACGAACGGACAGACGCGGGGGCACAAATCGTGAACGCTTGATTTCGGTACATAATTCAAAAGAAAAACATCATCAGAAGTGCTGATAACAATCATTATCTGTTTTCTTCGATCTATTCGTTAGTAACTCGTCTTGATAGACAAACAGGAGTCACGGATAGGCAAACGCGAAAGAATCGTGAACGCTCGATTCCAGTGGATAATTGAAAAAAGGAAAAAAAGACGCTAAGAAATATTGCGCTCGTAACGATCATCGTGCGTTTTCTCGGGTCTGTTTGTTGATAACCCGTTTCTGCTTGGTAGGCGAACAAGAATCGCAGATGGATAAACGTGGACGAATCGTGAACGGTCGCGATCCGGGTGCGCTCGATTTACGAGCGCGGCGGCACCGTCGGTCGTCTTTCGTCGCGAATGATCCGCGGCTCTGATCATTCGCCGCTCGGCCAGGATCGTTCAGTCACTATCCGGCTACCGAGCGGTGAGCCTCGCCTTCTCTCCGTTTGACTGCGTTCTCTCCCTCCACCTCGTCTTTGTCACAACTTTCCCCCTTCCGGCCCCCCCCCCTTCTCGTCCTCCCTCCACTCCTGCCGTCTTTCTCTCCCTCGCACCTCATCTTCGCGCACAGGCTCGCGTAATCGCTTCCAGCGTGCTAAATTTAGCGCTGACCGTTGCTTTTGCCGAGAGCCAGCGGCGTATATAAAGCTCCTCTTCGCCTCCGCCGCCGTTTCCTGCACGCGCGCGCCCGAGGTCGCGTCGAGACGCGCGGAAAAAGCCGTCGCCGGCCACATCAGTCGCGACGCGCCCCACCTGTGAAGGTTCACCGTCGAGAGCGCGCGAGGACCCACGATGAGCGGCCGACGCGCCGACCTGTCACTCGGCATCGAGGCTCGGGCGCGATGTGGAAGGCGTCTTGTGACTTCGGCAGCGATAACACTCGCCGAGCAGGGTTTATCAACGCTCTCGTCCGTGAAAAGTGTTGTTGCAACAAAGAACTGTTCTCTCGCGCGCGCGTGATAATCACGTAGAGCTGCGCACATAGGAGAGTTTGAACTTGGACGTCTCTTTCTCTCCTTCTGACTCGCGGTTTCGCGCGATAAAAAGGAAAAAGAGCGCGACGCAGCGCTGCCGACGATACGTCGCATTTTCTCTACCGGGTGACCGTGGACGATTTCCTCCTCTTGCTCCGAGAAGAAGGAGAGAGAGAGCCTTGACGCGCTTCGGGATCAAGATCAAGCGTTTTCCGATGCGCCGGGACCAATCGGGCATCGCGACCTGAAAATATTGCGGCGCAGAATTGGGGAAAAAACGCGACGGAGAGACGCGGCACCACCGGGGGCTTTCCGAGGCTCGTGGCAATCGAGCGATAAGCGGCCGGCTGTTGTGCGCTCGTGCTCGCGCGTGTTTATGTGTATGTGCGAACGTGTGTGTACACGTGTCGCCGTAATAAACGCTAAAAATAACCGCGCTATCGGGCCGCGAGCGAGTATCGGAGCGATAAACATCGCCGGCGACACGCTCGCCATCGCGCACGAATTCCGCGGCCTTCTCGCGACTCGCGATATCGTCGGACGCGAGTCGGAGAACGATAGAGAGTGGGGAGGAATCCTCCCTCTCGAGAAAGCAGGGAGCTTCTCGCGGATCCTCCGGGTCGCCGTGTCGAAGTCGACTTGGAAAAAGGAGAGCCGCGCGTCGGACAAAGTGCGCGAGTGATGTAACAGCGCGCCTTTCTGGCGCCCGCACGCGCGCACGTGGAAAGGAAAAAAGTCTCATCACGGCTTCCGGACGATTAATGCGCGCCTACCGCGCATTTTTCTTCCCTCGACGTCCCTCACCTCGCGGTTTGCGTTCTAAAAATATCGCCGACGCCGAAGGACTTTCTCAATCAGGATAACACTCGAAGAGCGCGGTCTCCTCTCGGACAGTCGACGGCTCTCTGGTGGACACTTGTTCTCCCCCCACACACACACACACACACATTCGCATTCTCGGTGGAAAATTACGCCGGCCCGGTGACAAGACCGGCCAGTCTGACGACGACGGCGGCGTCGAAAGAGCAGCGTCGCAGTTGGCACCGGTTGTCACGGCTCGGGAATCGCGCGCCACTTTACCGCGAGAAACCGCGCTAACTCGAGATTGATTCTCGAGTCGCGCCGAAACGTTTTCCCTTCTTTTTCCCCTCCGGCCGTTCGCTCGTGTCGCCGCGACAGATTGAGCGAGCGTCGGGCGCGCGTCGAGAGACCGGGAGGAATAACCGCGAGGGAAATCATGAAGGTGTACGTGGAGCGGGCGAGCGCGTTCGATCGATATCCGCGCGGCGAGAACCCGAGCGCGAAGATCGCCGGCCGCCACGTCGGGGCGATCCACGTTCGCGGCGGCGGTCCCCATGGCATGTTACCGGACCTGTGTTGTTACATGTGCATAGAGATGGCGAGGGACACGCCGGGCTCGCCGATGCCGCGGCCGCGAGATTTGGGCGCCGGCGGGGGTGGCGCGGCCACGGCCACCTTGACTTCCGGCGCTTACCACGCCGCGACCACCGACTCCGCCAGCCTGCACGACCACGAGCTGCAGCAGAAGATGCTCAAGGTAACGTATGACTGATATACCGCGCCCGTCGCTGTAACTGCGCGAAAACGGCGAAGAAGCAGCCGGGAAGGCAGGGCGAAACGACGAGGCGTCGCCACGATGACACACCGTTCTCTCCTTTTTCTTACTTTCATCCCCTTCTTTAATCGTCGATGTACCGCGCTGTAGTGTGCCAATTCAATTGGAGGATTGATGAGATGCGGTTGGAAGAGGGAAATGTTAACATCCCTTTGCTCATTAGATCTGTAGAAAGTCGCGAGGGAATGATATTTATTCACGGGAGAGCGTTTGTACGGTTGCAGAGCTATAGGATGACAGGTATGAGACAAGAAGGATGTCCGATCGACGTTACGTACAGAAATGAATTGTAAGTCGATGGTGAAGTAATATCGGTGCTGAGATAAAAAAGTGGGTAGACACAGGTGGCGAATTTAGTAAATCGTGTTTTCGATGCGTAAGAAGAGAAGAAATGTGACATGAATTAATTAGCGGGTCGAAGTAAAAGTGACAGTGAGTTAAATATTAATTCGCTAGAAAGTTGTAAGGCTCTTCGAAATACAAATCACTAAGCTAAATCACTAAATAAAGCAGGCATGTAAGAACCGTGCGGGAACTTGCGTTGCGAGACGATTGTATTACAATACAATATTATACATAAAAACGTCGTACGTTTCGGTCGTCGATTGCGACTCTCTTCAGTGAACACGCTATATATTAAAATAAATTAGTATTCAGCGCAAATGTTAAACACGACCTTCATAACTTCAGAGAAAAAAAACTCATCCGTTCCGTCATAAATCCGTGTCGAGCTCACACCGAAGTCAATAACTAATCCTGGAAATCCACTGGCAACGCGATCCCAAATGTGTAATATTATATTATAATAACATTTGTTTCGCAACGTAGTTCTTACGTGGCTCTTATATTCTTTTATCATTTAATGACGAATCCTTGCGAACAATTAGACATTGCTCGGAAAAACTCGAAATCAAATGAAAATTGGATTGCGATGGATACATACGGCGGAGTTGAAGAAATGGGAGGATCTGTTGATGACGTTCGAATAAAAATGAGGGGCTTCGCGCGGAAATGAAATATTCATGAAATTTTTCTCGTTACTGTCGGGACCAGTCGAGTCCGTTTCGTTAGCGATTGATCGCCGTGGCGCGCGCGCCGCATAGCGTGCCCGCGCGTTGTACGTACGTGCCGCGTCTTTCGCGTGAATATTGTTGAACTGGATCGCGAGCGATGGGATGCCTATTTGCAGAAACGTCGGGACGGCACGGGCGAAGTTTGGATTACCGCAACCGGCGCTCGGTTTCGGCCGAATTCGATCGATGCGGCCGCCGCGCCGAGCGCGGTTTAGTTACATCGCAATTAAGTTCAAGGTCGCCGATACTTCCGCGAAGGTCGCGTTTAATGCTGCGGAGAATCCGTCGGAAAGAAAATATATCATGTATGTGTGTGTGTGTACACACGTACACTTTATTCCGACTACGGTAAGTTACTGCGTCGCGCGAGCGACGGAGTGTTCTCGTCGCCTCGAAAACAGACCGCGCGGAAGACGCGAATAATTCAGGACGCAATTAAAAATGCAACTTTCAGAGAGCGTAACCCAAATCTCCCGACGACAACGGGCGGTTTAATTAACGCGCCGTCCGTCCCGTTTCGATCGAAGTCGTCGTTGCGTCCCTCTCCGTTAATTCTCCGCGGCAACGCACTTCAATTTTTTCGAACACCGTCTCCCGCTTTTTCTCTCCGTGGAGGACGACGAAAGAGGATGTTTCGCGTCGCGCGTAATAGTGGGAAAACTAATGGAAACCCTCTTGTGATAACGACGTTGCGGAGAATCTTCGTGTCGATATCAGTCTCTCCCTACGTACGTCAATCCGAGCACGCATATTTTCATTCCTCGCAACATTTTCTTCTCGAGGAAAAGTGTCCCATCACGGCGAAGAAGTCAAGCGGTTGATTAATTCAGCATATTCATTCATTCAGTGATGCAGTGTGACGGGTAATCAACTCGAACCCCTCGCGACGGAGAGCTCTCGACCCTTTCTCTCTCTCTTTCTCTCTCACTCGTTTGTTCGTTCTGCTAAGGTACTGGGAATAATTATTACGGCAAATTTGCCATGGGCAGAGCACGTCAATGATGTATGTAACAGAGCTGGTAAAGCGCTCTATCAAGTCGGAACGCACCTTTTTAGTTGGGAATTGCGAAGACAGTTGGTCATGTACGACTGATTACCACTGCGGCTGACTACAAAGGCCCTGATATTCTCTCATTATGATTATTGCTGTGCTATATTCAATGACCTAACAGTCGGAGCAAATTTGGAACTGCAGAGATCTTTCAACTCTGCTATCTAGTTTGTATATAAATTGCGATTTGACGAACATACTACACCATATAGCCTACGTGAAGGGTGGCTTATTGTTGAGAATAGTCGCCTTTTTCGGATCGATTGTTTGCTCTACATTATGTTGCGTAATCGGACGCTCTCGCATCTGCTTTGTTTGTTGTTCCGTAGTCTTCGGTCTCTGATCTCAAACTTGCGATATCAACGTGTATCGTGCTGAGATTGATAAAAAAAATCCTTTACTATAGTGTCGTCTTACCTCAGGTAGGTTTTAATAGTTGTACCGATATATATATTTATATAAAATTGCGAATTTATGCAAATTATATATTTATATTCCTTCACTACTACGCCGTATGAGCATATACCGTGTCTGGCCGTTAGTGGTAATCAATCGTACTTTGAGACTGTAACTTTATTGGTACTGCTTATATTGCAAACATAGATATGTACGTATTGTGTACTCGAGGGGGTTGCTAACCCCAGGGGATTAAATCTACCGCTCCATCTGTCCGTCTCGCGGGATTCTCCAATTAAAGTAACAATCAGGCTGAAAAGTTCACGGTCTTCGAGCGTGATTACTGCGCATCGGAGCGGAGCCGGCGCTTAAAGATCGATCGCCCGAGACGGAAATCTCAATTCGACGCGGTACACGCGCGCCGCGCGGAATTGTGCGCCTAATGCGCTCGCTCGTCGAATAGAATTTGATTTCGATTATCCGCTGCGCGACCCTGCGCTCTGCGACTCCCTCGCGGAAACGGCGCAGTAAAAGCGCATGCGACGAGGAGGAGGTCGCGATGACGGGCGTTATTTTCCGCGCGGAATTCACGGCGCTATCGATGCGACGATAGCCTTGCCTGATGCGCTCCGTCCCTCACACGTGTCTCTACACCGGCCGACGATTGCAAATTATATGCGAGCGCGCACAACACGCGCGGGTACGATTAATGCGCGATAACACACAACGCGCAGGATCAATTACGAGAGAGCAGCAGTTCCTGCGAAACCGGAATCTCTAATCGGGAGACGCCGGTTGCGTATATATGTATATAATTTGCATTTGCCGATAATTAACGAAACTTTGAGGAGAAGTCGTCGCGCAGGATCGCGCGTGTCGCATTTTCGCCGGCGTGCAGATTTATTATAACGAGACGTCCACCCGGAGCGGATCGGGGTAATTAATTGCAAAGGCCGGCTGATAGGAGACGATAAATGATCCACGGGGAAGCTAGATAGACATCGAGATTACCGCGACGGAGGAACGAGTCCGAACACTCGCGGCCGTCTTCGTGTCGCGTGTCCTGTCCCGGACGCGTTCTGCATATCCCTCCGGTAGTCTTCGCAATTAGAAGGTTAAAAGAAGGAAACTCAGGCATGACGGAGGGGAGGAAGGAGGGGGGATAACCGCAACTGTCGCGTGCGCTCTTTATTCCTCGACAATGTACGAAACGTTAATCTCGGTTACCAACCGATCCGCAGATTTACTCGGGAAATGAAATGAGCGTTCACCAACACTCGACCAGCCGAGGTGCTTCCTCGGCATCGCCGACTCGGATCGCGATCCACTCGTTACGCACGAAGCGCCGTTTTTCACGCGTTCTACGAGAGGAATCACGGCGTGTTGTAACGCCTCGTTTTCGTCGCGAACACTGCGAAAACAAGAGATGGCAGAATCGATAATTTTAGCGCTGCTCCGCGAGACTCCGCGGAGTATATAAACGCAAACAATGGCGCATTGGCGTCCAGTCACGTACCGGTAAATTTAGATGCGCTTGTAATTGGCGCCTTGACTCTCTTGAACCGGACGGCCGATTATCATATGCGAATGATATAGGTCACGTGGAAAACGCCACGCGCGCTCTGTTTTCCCAGGTTAGTCCGCACGTGTCGGATCGGGAATTAATATGCTGCCGTTATTAGTGGCGTTATTAATTCAAAGTGTTCGCTCATTCCTCCCCCCCCCCCCCCCCNNNNCCCGATGATTTGCAATACTGGTAATTTCCGGAGAGAGAACATTATCTGCTCCGAGAAAGGGGGAGGAAGGGGGGGGGGAGTAAACAGGAATTTTGCATAAAATTAACGATGAGCCGCTCGAGAAAAATTGCAAAAATTTCGTCGATCTAACGTAACACTTAAGCTTCCGCGAGAACGTGCAGTCTCATAGCGATCAACCCGACGAGCAGGAAGAGAGTCAGGATATTGAAGAAGAATATAAATCGCGTCGTCAGGAACGTCCGTCTCTGCGTCATCAGACCGCGATGATTATTGTACTCGCGTATCCAGTCCTGCACCATGACGGTATTCGGATCCGTTTTTGGGCTGAGGATAGCCTGCGAACGAAATCAGCGAAAGTTAATGAGACTCATCGAGAAAAGGATTCTAAGCCTGTTCAATTCGAATCGAGAATTATTAGGATGTAAGAAAATAGATGATAAGAGCAAGAAATTTGGCTCTTATCGTCCTTTTTTTATATTTTTAATAAGATGACGCTATATGAGATCTAGACTTCCAGTCGGGCACGGAGAAAACGATTCCGTTGTAACTGAATTTTTCGTTACCTGGGGACCAGACGAAAACTCGGTTATCACCACTGCCACTATAATAACACTTACTGAAAAAATAAAAAATGATTGACTATTCGGAAGCTGAGACACTTGCAAAAATAACGCCTTTAGTACGTATTTCTACTTTTAATTTTAATTTCTAATTTCTTTTGAACTACGTTTAGGATTTTTATGAAAAACTACTGTAATATTAAAGATTTATATAGAAACATTGCAAAAAATGTCAGAATTATTGACCGTTTTGTTTTGTTACTCATGCGGCAGCCCCTTAATATTGTCACTGAAAATCCAATACAATAGAACTATCACAGCTGAATATTCAAATGTGCCCAGTCCCAGCAGAGATTTATCAGCTTTCGTCACTGAGTTTTCGTCCGGTCTCCGTTCAGGAACTGAATTAATTTTTTTCGCGCGGTCAACGTGTCAGACTCGATCGGCGTGAAACGGAGGGAGCGATAGCGATGAGCAATACTGACGAAGTCGCATGCCAAGGCTACGGAATTCAGCGGCGCCCTGCATAACGGGCAAGGTGGCGGTACAGGTGCGACTCTGATATCGCAGTAATTCGCCAGGCAATCCGCGCACAGTAAGTGGCCACAGGGTGCTTTCACGCCGATCTTCGGCGCCCCCAGACAGATCGGGCAGACCTCGTCGTTGTATGCGACCATCGGCCCGTCGTCGTCATCGCTACCGAGGGGACAAAAATGAGGAGTCCTGCTTTCTCGAAATCGCGCTCGGGAGCGCTTCGTAATCAATTTCTCAAGCCGACGAGAAGACGTCGAACGAAGAGCCGTAATTCCCCTCGGGAAACGGAAATCGCACCTGAGCTCTTTCGCTTCGTCGCTCAAATCGTCGCCCGGAACGTCTCGACTCCCACGAAAACTGCACCTTCCGCCGGACGAGTTATTCCTCCTGAACAAAAGGATATAGATGCCGAATCCCACCGCGAACGCCGTCACCCGCAGGGCGTATCCTTTCCATCCTGCGGCCGGACCCTCGCTCGGAGGCGCTATGAAGGCGAAAGTCTTCGCTCTGTATTGCTCGGTAAGGTTCATCTCGTCCCGATCGATCCTCCTCCGTGTTGGGCGCCGCGATTTAATGCAGGAGCATCTCGTGTAAGTCAAAGGGATTCGTCTCCTGAGGATCTCTCAGGATCGATATTCCAGGCAAGACCCCCGTGGCCGATCGATGACAGATCGACGTCCGGAATCGTGACGGACAACGGTCAAGTGCTCGATGGCGATGCTCGACTGTCGAGAGCGAGGATAGTCGCGCTCGACATTAAATTCGTCGTGAAGTTGACTATCCGATGTTACACGTGTGCACCGAAATAAAGAGAGAGAGAGAGATACAGTCGCGTCACATCGGCACGCAACGCGCGCTCTTGTTCGCGGACGTAACCAATTGGCGAAATCACTTTGGTCTCTGTGTCAGCGGCCCACGCACTTCCTTCTGAGAAAAGGCGACTCGAAGCTCGCCTCGCCCACGTGCGAGCGACAGCGAGCGAAACGAAAAAAAAAAAAAACATTCCGCGGTTGTGAGACGCAGTGAATTGGATTAAACGAGTCGGATGCGCGCGAGCGCGCTCCACGTTGGCGTGAAACTTTGCACCGGCGATCAACTGCGACAACAGCGACGACGGCGACTATGCATACCTCCGGGTTTCCACTCGCGATGCGCAAGCACACAAAAGCTTTTATTCAGAAACACACTGAAAAGCCGTACATAAATCTGCACCTTCGTTTGTCCCCCCTTTTATCGAATTCTTTTATTCCGCGCCGCCGTCGGCGCTGGATACGCGTGTCGTCCTGGTGCACACGTGTGCGCCTCTTCCGTGTTGTGTGAGTCTGGAAGAGAGAGAGAGAGAGAGAATTAACGTCTGTTGTAAATTAATATACTCCGCTTCGCGGAAGAGAAAGAAAGTGATATATATATATATATATATATATGAGAGGGAGAATTCTGTGATATCGCGCGATAGAAAAAGTGAGAAGTCTCGCGAGGACTTGGATTAAGAAAGGAAAAAAGCGGAATCTCCGCGACGAATGATGCGTACGCGATCATTCGACGTGGCCTGGACCGTCGCCGAATCGTTCACCCTGCCTTCGGGTATCTCGCAAATCGCAAACCTCGACTGAGAATATTACCCTTGAGATATCTGGATTTGCTTCCAGCTACAGCAGCACTATCAGCTTCAGCAGCAGATACTCTGGCAGAAGTACGAGGCGCAGGGACGACAACTGCAGGAGCAGCAGATGCAGGAGCAACTGAAGGTGAGTCTAGTCACATGATGTACTTCTCACTCGCACGCCTGTCCCGGAGAGTTTCATTTTCCATTAAGAGGATGCCGAAGGCCGATGACGAACTTGATAAGCGTACGACAGTCCTTAAAGGGCTGTCATACGTGAAAACTTTACCGGTAGATTTTTTCCGCAAAGCTTTTACGTCTTATTGGCTTGCAGAGAATTGCAATCGCAGATATGCTTCAGCGCGGTAAAAATATACGCGAACGTAAATCGAAGCATTACTCAATATGTGATAAGAATGTGGTCATTACATATTCAATATATATTCATCGCAATCACATTTATATCGCACTCACATTTGCGTAAGATGTTTATGTGTAAAAAATACAAAAAGAGGAATAATCGTGTTAATGTTTATGTGACATAACAGTTGGAAGATCGTCTCTACGTTATCGACGCTTATCAAGTTTATCAACGGATATAGCATTCTCTTGAAATATTATGTTACATAACATTGACACGATCACGCTACTTTTTTGTATTTTTTTTTTTGTACATATATAGATCTTACGTAAAAGTAAATGCTATATAAATATGAATGCAATGAATGTACGCTACTCCGTCTTACTATATCTAACGGGAAATCTAACTAAGATATATAAACATTTTTTTTGTGAATTCTTGTTCAGAAGAATTCATTCTTGTGCGGAAATTCTGTATCAGATAAATATTAACGTTAGCTGACAGCTAGAGATGTTATTTTGAAATTTTAAATTATTTCCGCTATTGAGCAATGCTCCAATTTATTTTCGCACGTACCTTCACTATGTAAAAGCATTTATATAATTCTATGCAACCAATGAAATGTAAACTTATCATTCGTCGATAATCGGAAATACGAAGCTGCGTCATCCTCTCGTAGAATTTAGTTAGAGTAATATGAAGAATCGTGTATTCTTAGAATTAATTCCATATTAAGACAGGCTTCTAAGATAAGTACCGTTGCAAAACAAGCGGCTTCATGACGGCAATCGATTCCAAGCGAATTTGGGAATATTTTCGCCGTGCTGTCTTCGAACGACCGAAATTACTCAGGCAATTGAGTTTTCCAGAAATTGTTATTTTCGCACGGATTATTTTGCGTTCCCAATCGCAACGTCGAGACGAATTATTTAAGCGGTGATCTTTCAACGCTCGTTCATTCGTCGATATATCAATCCGTCTAAAAGTGGGTGGGTGTACTGAGCGAACGAACAGCGAATATATAATACGAACGTGCATATTCACGTCTAATGAAAACGAATGGAAACTTTCTTTGATGAATTATCTTTATGAGCAAATCGGCTTAAAACTTTTTGTTCAGATTTGCTATTTTTATTTCATATTTATTTTGTTTGTTTACGTGTACAAGAAAAATTTTCTTTTTTATGTAAGAAAAGGGAGGAAAAAACAATACGGCATCACTTATAGAGATGAAAAGGACGAGAAAAAAGAATTTACATTTTTACTTAGAGGATTTCTATTTATTTACTCGAAGCACCTTTTTCTATGTGATAACCACGTATGTCGCTACTGCTAATTTTCAGTTAAAATCAAATATGTAATTCAGTCCGAAAATGATTATAAATTTTCGAAATAATTCTCTCAGTGCGTACACATTTTCCAAATTGTGACAACCGAACATTTGCATTCGTCCTTTGCTCATTCGCCCAGCGTAAATATACATGACACCGCCTCCTCGTCCTGGGACGGTCTCATCCTGACAGTCGCGGAGACGCTCGACGACGTCTCGCCGAAGGCACGCTCATCACTCGCGGCGTTACTTCGCCGGTCAGCGTCAACAGCAGCGGCCGCGCGTTACACGCGCATTATTCGCCCATAATAGAGAATCCTCTTCGCGTTTTACCCAACGCCGTCCTCCCGTCCCCTTTGCAGCCGTGGTGGTGGCGGCGGCTCTGAGAACGATGGCTAGTCGCGAATGTCGTCGTCGTCGTCCTGTTTCACCAGCATCGCCACCACCACCACTACCGGACAGCAGCTCCGGCCGTCACTGCCGCGGCCATTCGCGTCTCTCTGCCGGTCGAAAGTCCAGCGGAATATTCCTCTCATTGTCGGCGAAGCTCGTAACATGCGTCACGAATGCGATAATAACAATAACGGTTGATCGTGAAAATAAACTGGGCATCGCCGCGCGCCGTGGAATCCCGCGATTCCCGACCGTGCGAGTACGCTCGCACTTCGACTTGTTCGCGCGACAGACACTCGCGATTCCGCGCGAACGCGAATTTTCTCGCCGGTACTCTCCGGCGAGAATCGACGGCTAACGTCGGAATAACAGCTCCGAGCAGGAAAAGTGAAAATGTCGCGAGCAGCGGGAAACTTGCCACGCGGTTTACGGCGCAGATTCCACCCAGGCTCGATCCTGTCCTCTCGTGGAAAGCCGATTCCCCGTAAAATGTTTCGGTCGAGCCGCAGAAGCACCTGTGAAGTTAATCAGCACTGGCTACAACGGACGTGTAATAAAATTCGTGACACGTGGCGCAAATTGAATGAAAGTAATTCCTGGAAAATTGTGTGTTGGTATTAATCAATAACCCGTCGGCTGTCCGAATTTCCCGGTGTTACGTGTCTCTGGCGAATGGAATATACGCCGCCGTTATCGCCGGGAATACTTTGACGAATTCGGAATTTTCCATTAATGAAAGTATGCAGGCATAGCCGATGAACGCGCGATGGTTTCATGTCACACTGATTTCGAAAGTGTGTCGTGTCTCGTGAATTTCTGCCTTCGAGTTTGGTGCGAGAGCGGATCGCTCACTCGGTCTTTTCATTTCTATTATAACGTGTATGCGTCCGTGACATGCTCGTTTATGCGTGATTATGTATGGATTCGTCGGCGTATCGTGTAATCTTCTCGCATGCGCGACGTCATCGTATATCTATCGCAGAAAATTGCCGTTTACGCACGACGTGACGTGTAGAAATTTAAACAACACGCCCGTGCAAAGAGAAGCTCCCTTCGCGACGAAAATTCAACTTACGTCAAAACTTCGAACGCCCGACAATAGTGCGGCTTCGCGAATAAAAATTCGGCTTCGCTAGGAAAATTCGACCTCGTGAAACAGATTCGGCTTTGCGGGAAAAATTCGACTCCGTGTCGAAAATTCGGCTTTGCGGCAAAAATTCGGCTTCGCAAAAAAAAAGAAAGGAGAAAAGTCGCGTCGAAGTTCGGCTGTACGATAAAAATTCAGTTTTGCGATAGAAATTCGGTTCTGCCGCAAAAATCTCGCTTCGTGGAGGAAATTCGACCCCGCGAAAAAACGTCCGCTCCGCATCGAAAATTTGGCTTTGCGAAAAAAAAATTCGGCTTTGCGACAAAAATTCAGTTTCGCGAGAAAGAAATTCCAATTTTGCGTCGGATATTGCACGACGCGAATCAACACATTGACCGTCACGATCGCTTATTCTCTCTTTGTTTAACTCTCTCTCTTTTTTTCTCTTGTCATCGAGAAAATTTCAAGATTCTAATTCGAGCTTCGTCACGAAGCGCTCATTCGAAGGGAGAATTCCTCGGCGCGCATGTTTTTTTTTTCCCCTCCCTCGTAACAACGGACACGTCCGAAGCGCTATTTTCGGCGGTCGAGATACGTAAACACGCGGGCGCGGGTGCAGCACCTGTGGCGCGTGCCGACGTCACTTCCGGCGTGTTCCGGGCGAGGGAGGAGGTGTGTTAACAGGTGCGCGCAGGTGTTCCCGCGCTGGCAGGTGGACTGCGCGCGCGAGATCGTGTGTGGATTGCAACGGCGAGCGCGCGGCGCCGCCGCGCTCCGATTTGCTTTATTGGCCGGGACGCGCTTTATTAGTCGTTACGATCGCGCGCATTCTTTCTCCCGGCCTGCCGTCGTTGTGTTACGCTATCGCGCCCCACGTGCCTGAGTAACGCGCTGCGCGCGCTATTTTGAGTTTTATGCCCGGCCGTGAGCGGCGGCCGCAGGAAGTTCGATCGCGCGCGCGATCGCGGTAACAAAGGCGACGATGAGGTGCGCGCGTGCTGTTCATTCAGAGACACCGAGCACCTGTGGAAAGCAACGTCGATCGGCTCGAGCTTTTGTCTCTCGGCCGGAATTTCCTCGAGCTCTCTTAATCGACCGATTTATTATTAAACGCCAGCGCGTCGTTGTAATCGCTGATAATATCGTCTTGTTGATGTGTGTACAGTCGGAATAATTATTATTGCTATCATTTATCAAACGTAGCCACGAGCTGCTTACGATTACTATTGTACAGAAGTTCTCTCTCTCTCTCTCTCTCCTCCCTCCCTCCTTCACCCTCGACGCATATTTAATCCCGCGATCGTTTATCGCGTATATATATTATACACATTTACCGCTTGAATCGCGACGGGTTGGCGGAACGCGAGGAGGGAGAAGTCGAGAATGCAATTCCGCCGGAGAGACGAGAGAGGAGAGCCGGTCGGTCGGCCTCGTTTAATAGGTGCGCCCGTTCCACGTGTGTGCGGATATTAATTGGCGAATAACGAGATGTGTCGTGGACGCGGAGAACGATGCCAGACGTAATGGACGTGACGCGCACTGATGTCGATGAACCCCGTGAACGGTCGCGGACGCGTCTCATTTTCCGCGACGGGCGAGCCCACACCGCGGAGATTCATCTCTCGCGAGATTCGGACGGGAGGAAGGGGAGAGAAACTTGCTCCGGGAGCGAGAGGGAGAGAGAGAGAGAGAGAGTCACAGCGGCGTTTCAATCGCGCGGAGACTCGCGATTTTATCGGCGCTGCTGTGTAAGCAAACGTTATTCGGCGAGGGCTATTAATAAATACTCCGCCGAACCACCACTGTTATTTCATTCCGCGAGAATTCACCCGATGCATCGGATACACACACGCGCGCGCGCGTGATAGAGGGAGGGAGCGAGAGAGTGTTTATCGCGCCGTGGGCGAGATTACGGGACGCGTGATTAGATTAACGCGCTCTTCTGCGCTTGGCAATGCCGGGACTTTCCCACGTGTGTGATTAAGCGCGCACGCCCGCGTTGTTGTTCCCCCTCGTGGATCCACATTGAGAGAGCGATCCCGTGAAATTTACAAGGGCTCTTTCGGCCCTTTTTGGCCCTTTTCCGCCTCGACGATCTTCCTCGCTCAAAAACATCGATTTGACAGTCATAGCGGAAATCATCCAGACACGAGGGATTAATTAAGATGGGTAAATGTCCAGCGAACGCTTCAGTGTCACATGTGCGTTGTGTCTAATTAATATAGGCGACAGAGACAGAATTTTTATCCGAACTATTGTCGAATTCAACCAGAAAATCTCTCTGCGGAGCTCATCCGGTTTAAGGTCAGCCGCGTTTCTTGGGAAAAATTCGCAACAGGATCTAAATTTCCTCGCGCATATTTGCTAGAATATGCTGCCGCTGTAAATTATACGTGCCGCGGACAATTTTCTAGCGGATGCAAAAAACAGCGATACATATTACCTGTGA